GAGAAATGTCTGCTCGCGGTTTTTTAGGCGTGCTGGATGTTGAAGGGTTCAGCATGCTTAGGGCACCCTAAACCCCAAACCCGAAACCCCAAACCCTAAACCCTAAACCTTAAACCCCAAGCCCTAAACCCTAAACCAACCCCAAACCCTAAACCCTAAACCCCGAACTCTGAACCCCAAACCCCAAACCTTAAATCAACCTCAAACCCTAAACCCTAAACCCCAGACCCTAAACCCCAAACCCTAAACCCTCATTAAACCCTAAACCCCAAACCCCTAAACCCGAACCCCAAACCCTAAACCGGGCTGTTGAGGGTTTCAAGGGTCGAGCCTGTTCCTGCGTCGCCTCCGTCCCGAAGGCGTGGTCACACCTTGGTCTGCCCGAGGAGATAGGGTTTTGGGTTTAGAGTTTAGGGTTTAGGGTTTAGGGTTTGGGGTTTGGGATTTAGGGTTTGGGGTTTGGGGTTTGGGGTTCAGAGTTGGGGGTTTAGGGTTTAGGGTTTGGGTTTAGGGTTTGAGGTTTGGGGTTTAGGGTTTGGGGTTTAGGGTTTCCGGGCCTCAAGAGTTTGAAGAGAGCCTTGCATTGGAGAAGAGTATGACTATAACAGGGAGCTCCAAGAAATAATATCGTAAAGACTTAGGGTAACTGAAACTTTGGGGGGTTTAGGGTTTCGGGTGTATAGGCTTTCGGGTTTAGGGTTTAGGGTTTAGGGTTTAGGTGTCTAGGGTGTGTCGGCTTTCGGGATCGCTATACACTAACTTAAACCCTCAAACCCTAAACCCTAAACCCTAAACCCTCAAACCCTGACACCCAAGAGCATCCGCCTCTGATCTCCGAGAGCCCATGGCTTTAAGCCCAGATCTTCTCCGACTCAACTTGGGGTGTAGGGTTTTTTGGGGGATTTAGGGCTTCTGGATTAGAGTTCAGGGCCTAGGTTGAGGGCTTAGGGTTTAGGGTTTAGGGTTTAGGGTTTAGGGTTTAGGGTTTAGGGTTTAGGGTTTAGGGTTTAGGGATGGGCCGGAACCCAGAAACATAGTATCTTCCCATCTTCGAAGATAAGGAAGCCGCAGGGTCCAAGCACCTAAATTGTCTATACCCCTGGCCTCAACCGGGTATGTTAGGACCAGCGTAGATGCTATGTCGGTACATGGACGCTCCTTAGGCCCTAAGCCCTAATCCCCGAACACTAAACCCTAAACCCTAAACCCAAAGCCCTAAACCCAAGGCCCTAAACCTGAGAGGAGCTGGAACTGAAGGCAAGCTGGAAACTTCTGGCCAGAACCAAGCCCGCCGCACACACCAGTCGATTTCCGTGCTTCTGCCTGCAGGGTTTCGGGGCTGAGGGTTTGGGGATGAGGGCTGAGGAGCTCGGGTTTAGGGTTTAAGGTTTAGGGGTTCGGGTTTAGGGTTTAGGGTTTAGGGTTTAGGGTTTAGGGTTTAGGAGTTCGGGTTTAGGGTTTAAGGCTTAGGCTTCACCCCGTTCTTAGCTCAGAATCTGTTCAAAACTCACGTCCAGGCCGGCCGAGCCCCACTCCCTCAAGCGCAAGAAGAGCGCCGACAAAAAAAGAGGCACAGCCTGCGCCCTAAAGCCTAGGGTTTAGGGTTTAGGGTTTAGGGTTTAGGGTTTAGGGTTTAATCTGCAACCCTAGCTGCAAGCGCCGGCAAAGCCGATCTATCCGAAGACCAAACACAGAACCCCAAACCCTAACCTCCCAAAACCCCCAAACCCTGAACCCCAAACATACACCCTAAACCCCTTATAGTAGCCCTTATAGAACCCTTTAAGGAACCCTTTCAAGGAACCCCAAAACCCTATTCTACTACGTACAGACTTGGGGGTGCAACCGTCTGTCACTTCTTGCAAGCTCTTTAGGACTGCCAGAACGGCAGGCTTTTGAAGTTGATGCTTTGGACATTGGGTTCCGGGGTTTAGGGTTTAGGGTTTAGGGTTTAGGGTTTAGGGTTTAGGGTTTAGGGTTCAGGGCTGAGGGTTGAGGGTTTAGGGTTTAGGGGGCCTAGAGTCCTAGAGTTTAGGGACTGAGGCTTTAGGTTTTAGGGTTTAGGGTTTAGGGTTTAGGGTTTAGGGTTTAGGGTTCACGGCTTTGGGTTTGGATGCCGATTCCCCCGCTTAGGTCTACCACGTCCCGCGAGAATGAGCCCTAAGTCCTTAACCCTAAACCCCGTCAAAAAGGCATGCACCCCCTTCAGCAATCAGACAATGCAAAAAAAAACGAAGCAGACCTGAACCTCAAAATGTCCTAGACCCGAAACTACCCGAAACCTCATGAAACCCCGCCCCAAGCCCTCGGAAGCCCAACCCAAAAGGGTTTAGGGTTTAGGGGTTACCCAAAAATCCTAAACACTCCGAACGGATGAGCTGAAGTACCCTCCAGGCAACAGCCCGGGGCACCTCCAGCATCACCAAGGTAGCTGTGAAGGCCACCCCGCTCCAGCTGGCCGCAGGTGGTGCAGAGTTTATGGTTGGCGTGCACATGTAGGATTGGGATTTAGTGCTTCTACGGGGTCCCCCATTTTTCCAAAGTATCGTTTTCAGTGAGCCTTAAGGTAAACCCTAAACCCTAAACCCTAAACCTGACTATATAAGCTTCTTCGGGGCCCTGGGGCGATCTCTAGAAGAAATCCTTGATCAACAAACCGCAGAATCCGCGCGGAAGCATCTAGGGTTCAGGGCCTAAGGGTTCAGGGCGAACGCCCTAAACCCTAAACCCTAAACCCTGAACCAGGGCTCAGGGTTTAGAGGACGGGACGAACTGGGGAGTCGACTGCACATGAACCTCACACCTTCACTATCTTAGGCTTTAGGGTCTAGGGTTTAGGTTCTATGGCTATCTTGCCTGACGCCACCCCTGAACTGTGGAAGATACCTTAGATCATGGGGGGGGGGCCTTCATACTATGGTTTAAGGCATCTTCCTTCATTCAGGCTTATCACGACAACTGACAACTCCTCGAACCAATGAACAAAGCCTGCATCCACCCCAAGCTGTAGAATTTACATTATAAACTTGCAACCTTATACTGCATAATGCCCCAAACCCCAACCCCAAACCCCAAACCCTAAACCCTAAACCCTAAACCCTAAACCCTAAACCCAAAGCCCTTTAAACAGGGTTTAAGGTCCAGGGTGACCTCCTTGAGCCCTGCTCCCAAAACCTGCGATGGGCCACCGGCAATGGCTTCAGTCGCACCGCAGAGCCCTCAACACACGCCACCTCCTGACGACGGCCCCCATAGAAAACTTTTTGCTTTGGGGTTCAGGGTTTAGGGTTTAGGGTTTTAGGGTTTGGGGCTTTGGGTTGTAGGGTTTCTTAGGGTTACAGTTTGTGCTTGAGGGTCTATCCCTAAACCCTGAACCCTATAGGCCTATAGACGCTAAACCCTGAACCCTATAGACCCTAAGCCCTAAACCCTAAACCCTAAACCCGAAACCTATCGACTCTCAACCATTAAAAGCCCGAGGCGTCACATCTCCTCATCGCTTCCTGGCTTTAGCCGGACGCACAATGCCACGTCGCCTCAGGTTTTAGGGTTCAGGGTTTAGAGTTTAGGGTTTAGGGATTAGGCTTCAGGGTTTGGAGTTTAGGGTTTAGGGTTTAGGGTTTACGGTTTAGAGTTTAGGGTTCAGGGTTTAAGGCTTGGGGCTGAGAGTGTGGGGTTTAGGGGCTAGGGGGTTCTGGATGTTTATAGAGCTTTGTACAAGTTTTATAACTTTGATAAGGTGACATACAAGTATTCTATGGGCTTCATGCGGCGCGTTGCGGAGGCTGAGGCCGTCGGCTTTGCAGAGTTTGCGGCTTTTGGGTTCCTAAACAGCCCTAAACCCTAAACCCTAAACCGTAAACCCTAAGCCCTAAACCCTAAGCCCCAAACCCTAAACTCTAAACCCTAAGCCAACCCCCCAAGCAGATGCACAAGGTCGGATCCCCTCTGCTTAAGCGGACCTAGCGAAGAGCCCTCTCTCTCTCGCGATCCTTCTACCTATCTATCTAAAGAGCTTAGGGTTTAGGGTTTCGTTTAGGGTTTAGGGTTTTTATCTATCTATCTAACTATCTATCTAACTATCTCTCTACCTGTCTATCTTTCTACCTACCTACTTACCTACCTAGCTACTTATCCATCTGTTTATATAATAGATAGATACATATGTATGTCTGGTTGTGCTTGTGTGTATGTGTCTGTGTGTGTGTCTGCGTGTAGGCGTGCATGAGTCCGTGCGTTTTGTGTTTGTTTTGATGCCGTATGACAAGCCAGCACTACTCCTTGTCTGCCGTGTCAGCGAAGCTTCCCTGTTTACGCTCGATTCTAAGAAAACGACATGCAATGCTTTGCACCGGAAGACTTGAATCTCAAGCCCTGTGAGCCTTTGCAACCGGGAGGCCCTACAACAGATTCGTTAAGCAATCGCAACCTGTAGGTCTTAGCCGATGCCCTAAACCCTAAACCTGAGCCCTATACCCTAAACCCTAAACCTTAACCAGGCCACTCATCGCAAAACTCGATATCACAGCCCAGCACTGCTAAGCGCTAAAGCTGCCCTCTGCTTTGGAAAAGTCGTCTTAGTCTTACAGCGGCAGCAGCTACGACTAGTACAGGTCTTCTTATTGATGCCTACATGTCGAATTTCTCCTTTAAGGGATTGTTGATGCACAACTGAGTGACCCAACTTTCAACCAGCTCATGCACTCCGAAGCTTTCTGCGCGATGAAGACCTGTCCCCAAACTAACCAGCACTCCAAGTTCGCATTCCTCAAATCCCAAAGCCCGACTCTAAACCTCAAAATCGTTACATAAACCCTTAAACCCTTAAACCCCTAAGCCCTAAACCCTTAAACCCTTAAAGCCCAAACCCTGAACCCGAAACCCTAAGCC